TAAATAGGAAAAGGAATGGGAAGTTCTCTCTTCATCTTGAGCAATATTTTAACCTGAAGCATGTTGGCAGTGGGAAAATTGATGCAAGGTTTTAGAAACTGATCTCAACACTTTAAAAACGTGTTTTTAAAAAATAGCCACTGTAGATTTTATAGTATTTAGTCTTCATGTGTTCTTTTAATAAATATGGAATGTTCACTGGTGTGATTTCTTTTTGGTGACTGGCCGGTTCAGGGATTGAATCCTGGACCGTGGTGTTATCAGCACCATGCTGTAACCAACTGAGCTAACTGGCCAGTCTGGTGTAATTTCTGAATCATTGAAATTGTAGTGTATTTCTTAAAATAAAAAGGAGACTAACCATTTTAAAATAGCTGTTGAGGAGTTGAGGTAAAGATTATATTTTAAGGAGAAAGAAGTAAATATAAAGAAGGACTTTAAAAATTTTTTCTTTTTAAGACCATGCATAAGAAATAAGTTTAAGCATAATACAGATTAAATAGCTTATGGATTTTATAGATGGACTAATAAGAAGTACATTTTTTCCTTGTAGCATATTATGTAGCTCAGAGGAATGAAGAAGTATCTGTGGTAACCTGCTGGAAATCCTTACTGATGGGAATGTAGCCATGAGAGTCTGTTAAATTTGGATCGATACTGTATATAGTTATTACATGAATTTTGTTTGCTTTTTGAGGGAAAAGGTGCACTTATCCATATTTCTCTAGAAAACATCTTATATATTAGGCTCTCAGGTTGTCATGGCCCCTAACATTTTTACTATTAACGACCTCCATTACTATGGGGCTCCTGGTAAGGCGTTTCTGAATTTGTTTATAGATAGGATATAATATTTGTTAATTTCTAATAAAGTATTGAAAATCATTTCAGATCACCATTCTTATGTTTGGAAATCTCTAGATAACTGAGAATCCCTTGTTTTCAGAATCGTTGGTACAAAATCATGCAGTGTTAGAGCTCTGTCCAGGAATTTGATTTTACAGCTGAGGAGGGTGTTGGCAGTCACCTGTACCTAAATCTTTCTACACATCCTCCAGATACTAAACGGATCAGCAAGGAGAGCAAATAAAAGCACGCATAACGGAGGCCTCCAGTATAATCAGGAAACGAGGAGTACTAGGAACTTCCGAATTTTGTTATAAGTGGGGAAATTAACATGTGAAACCAGCAGAGCCAGTCCTGGAGTTGATGCTGGAGCTGAAGGTCAGATGGAGACTGGTCGGAAACAAAGAGACCTTGGAAGAGCCCTAGGGGAGGCCGAATGCAGAGAGAACAGATCGGAAAACTGGTGTATTTGGGGAATTTAAAGGAAGGGGCTTGAAAGTACGTGCAACCAGAGGTAACAGTGTTGATGGTGCTTCTTCTGGGAGACATGGGAGAGGCATCCCTTAGAAAGGAACAGCAGAGGAAATTAAAGGTGTCCAGAAACAAAGAACATCATAAGATCAGGAAGATTACCTACTCCTCTCTCCCACCACCAAAAAGAGGTGCCACTTAGAAAAGAAAATGCACTCCATTTCACCAGCATAACTCAGAACCCCCCAGGTACCTTACCCTTCCATGGGAGCATCTATTTTTGCTATCCAGGAAAATCCAAGACGATTTAAAAATGATCAGAAATGACAGGTAACATCCATACAGAGCTACTCTAGGAAGAACAGAAAGTGAGAATCAAAAGTTTTCAGCAGCAGAAAAAGGTGTCATAACACTGCGTCATGAATTGAGGATCTTTGAATAGGCAGTTGCAGATATGATAAACTACTTTACATCAGAAATTCAAAAACTTAGAATAGAAAGGGACAAAAAACAATCCTAGGAAGTTAGGGAATGAGAGTTGACTAAACTCAGAAAGAAATAGAAGGAAAAAGTAGTTATTTTAAAATCGAGGAAACTTTGGGCCGGCCTGGTGGCGCACTGGATAGTGCGCCGCTTGGGAAGCGCGGCGGCGCTCCCACCCGAGGGTTCGGATCCCACATACAGACCGGTTCCGGCTCACTGGCTGAGCGAGGCGCGGGAGCAACACCGAGGTTTGCAATCCCGTTGCCGGTCCCTGGTCCGGTACGGGGGCAACACTGAGGGTTGCGATCCGTTGCCGGACACAGAAAAAAGACAAAAGACAAAAAAAAAAAAAAAAAAAAAAAAAAA